TGCCCCAGTGTGCCCCTCCTTGATATCCCGCAACCCACCACCAGGGTTCCGACACATAACACACTTTTTTTGGAATGTAAACCTCCCAGGGGTCCTTTCCATATTTTTACTGAGACTGCATAAGGAACCGTTAGAAATGCATTATCCATGATTATTAAGCTTGGACCAGTGGGGTCCGGTGTTCGTGGCCCCCCACGTTTAAAACCAGTCCCCATGACGTGAGTGGAATCTCAGGTTATGGAACCCACCAGGAGTTGAAAACAAGTGACACCAACACACACACACACACAAACAAACACACACACACACCACTCAAGAGACACACTCACAGAGACACACACACACACCACACAGGACACACTCACAGAGACAACTCACAGAGAAACACAGACAGAAACCACAACACACTCTTAATTTACGTGAACAAGTTTAAAGCACAACATGACAAACATTAGTGACTACATGTGGTTCCAGGGGAAGGTGTTGTAGACCTGGGAGAGGTGGAAGTGTGTATGAGTGTGTTTTCAGGTTGTGTTGCACTTTAGTAAACCCTCTAAATTTAATGGAATCAAACAATAGCTCAGAATGAAGGAAATGCTGAAGCTAGCTAGCCTTAATGTGGTCATAACTGCAGACTGCGCGTATGCGTGTGAGCGTCTCCTCTATTTGGCGTCTCGTGCACTTTGTTGTCTGCATTGTGTGGACGGCAATTACGAATGCACACTGCCATCTTTTTAAAAAGATATACTTACAATATATCTTATACAGTTGGGTGTGATGCAGTGAATGAGATCGCACTATTTGGCAACAACAAGGAAGGATAGGATCACTCTATATCCGCAAACAGTGCGATCGTGGTCCGTCCGGTGAGGCGGAGGCATGACGGTGATGATAATGTCTGATTACCATCAGCAATCTCGATATGTGTCAAAGAATATACAGGCGCCATCGAGGTGGTGCCGAGCAAGGTTCTTCCAACGCCATCTTACCCCGGCACACCCGGGCAAGAGGAGCGGACCCGCCCGGATACGCTGCGGCCAATAGACGGAAGACCACAGAAACACGCTGCACTGACGCTCTCCTTTAGACAGGGACTATGAAGATGAACAAAGCCAGGATTTTTGTCTTACTGACAATTTACTGAATTGTCTGGCTCAAATAAAACCCCAAGAGCAATGCTGAGGAGGTTGTTCATTTTACAGACTTCATCAACATACTAGTATTTTATTTAGTTTATTTTATACTTTATTAATCTGTCACAGGAGAAAATTATCAAGTCCACATTTGGCAAGGGATAGTGGAACCTCTCAAGATTGTGCAAAAGTAAGAAATGAGCAACTTGTTCATGCAGGACATATTATGTATCTAAAAAAGTGGCAATTAGAAAGTGGAAATCATGAACTGTCAATAGAAGGTTTTATTCAGACTTAATGCAGTGACTTAAAGTGACATGTTGTACAGTCTTATAAAGATTGTGTATATATATATTATATATATATATATATGTATATATATATTATATAATCTGTATTAGTGTACAGGTTTTTTAAGTTGTAGAGTTGTGCTATACTTTTTGAAAACGGCAGTTTGTTTTGCACTGTTTCAGCACGGAAATTAAGTGATGAACAAACGGAAAGAAAACTAAAGCGATTAACATTATACAGTACATTCAGAATAGCAAAGATATCAATCCTGGTGTTGTATGCTCAGCCTAACAGAAACAAAAACTGTTTTTAACCTGGATTTGAATATGTCAGTGAAGAAGCCTGTCTAACATTGCTTCAGGAAGCAAATATTCTGAAAGGTTGTCTTCTCGATGTAGTTTCGACCAGTCCTGTCTCCTCAAACTGAGTTGGTTCGGTATGACCACGAAATGTCACAGATGTACTGTAGGTTCAAGCCTTGGAAGAAAACTTTATAGTGCATTTACTTTAATATTCATTTATCTTGTGCTGTGTGCTCCTCTATTCCTATGTTCTGTAACCTGCGATGCAACACTGAAAATGTCCTCATGTGGGAACTAATGAGGATTTGATTCATAAATCGTTGATGACACAAATAGTGTCTTTTAAAAGCAACTACAGGCTGTAAACATAATCTCAATAGTCTTGGTTATAAATGTGGTATTACTGTCATTATTCGGCCACGAGGGCTGCGCTGTAAGAACAAAATGATACTGATGGACTTAACTTATTTTATTTTAAAATGTTTGATTTGACAGTTCAAAGACGGGCACATGAAGGAAAATACTTTTTTGTAATGGAGCAAAATATAGGTATTGAATGTGGAAAAAAAACATCTGGAAGCTGAAAAAATGATAATAAATTAAAAGGCATAAGATGTTCTAAGGATTCGCTCACTCTTGATTACTTCCAAAAAACAAATTAAGGCAAAGGTCAATCAAAGAGTGTCTCTGTTTAAGGAGAAAAGGGATATTTTACAAATGCAGTATAGAGTTATATTCGCTCACATGCAGAGGTTCAAGGCCAGAGAGAGATATTGTAAAACTACATTTCTATACATTAATTTTTTACTGAAGCACTTTGTTGCATAAAATCTATTCTTGTGATTCCCTATTAAAATAATTTGACTTAGCCTCGGGGGTAAAAGCTGTTTTATGGAGGGGAATAGGATTGTGGATGAAGTGTTTGTGTTCATATGGTCTCCTTGTTTCATGGACCAGACAATTCTACAAAGCACCAAAGTCTCTTAATTTTCTTGATCAAGGCTGATGTTGCTCTGCATCATTCTGTCCATTCCCGTGTGTGAATGTATGTCTATTTTAATTGTTGCCATGGAAACAGAGTGCTGCCTGAGTTCAGAATGGAGCATCACTCACTCTCTGTATGTCCTGGATTAACGCTGCTCAAAGGTTTCATGTCACAGAAATCCTTTAAATACATATTTTTTCACATTTTTGCCAATCAGGACAAAATATTTTGAAAACATTATATTTTTCTCTATCATTGAGAAAAAAAACCTTTACTTTATCATTGAGGTTTTTTTTGTTTTCAGTTTAATCTGCTGCCAGCTCTTTACTGTTAGTTTACAACAACATTATTAATGTAAAGTATATTTTAGTTTACAGATATTTTATATCTGAATTCTGTACAAAGGTAGAAGTCTGACTTTTGCCACCATAGTTACCAGGAACAATTATTCAGCTGCTCTCCACCACAATGTTAAGCTGTAGGTTTTTGGAATGTTGGGATATCACATGAACATAACCAACAGGAATTGAGTATGGATGAGTTTGCTTGCAGAAACCTGGTTTCGGGTTAAAAAAATTAGAAATGACACATGTTTCTTTCAGTCTCTGCTGCTGTCAGACCTTCAATTCTAAATTATGGGGTTTACATGCTTTACTTTATCCTGTTTTAACTCCAGTCCCCAGGTCTGTTTTCTATATCCAGGATCACATATAACTGGATGGGTTGAGCTGAAATTTGGTGGGTTGATAGGATGGGATGGTAAGACATTTACAGACTAACCAGAGGGTTGACTGGGTATGTGCTCTCAGAGTCCACGTTAATAGTTTATATTGCAGTAAAGTGTAAAATGTTTCAGTTTATGCTTATCCCAGATACATGTACAACAGGAATGAAAGTAATGAGTGAGTGATTAGATGGTGATGGCTGAGACTTACTGACTTACTTACTTACTAGCTTGACCCATTGTACATTTTGGTAATTCTCTATTTACCTGGTTATGAACAGGCTCTCCCATGGCTATATCTGCACAAAAGCTCTTTTCCTACAGAGTTCACACCTACTCATAATATATGCTTTTAAACTCTGGAGGGCATGCTCCCACCCACTCTTCACACAAACTTTCATCCCTGTCTAGTGATGGTCAGCGGGAAGTGTCTGAAGCCTATGATATTACTCCAGTCACCTTCACTATCACTTATACAGTATAATCACTTTGATGGTCCGTCAGTTTCTTGGTGTCACTTTTATCATGCCAAACTGTTTGTTGGTGAGTCGGTGCTGGCATACAATATAATACAATACAATTTACAATGTATTCTTGTATAGCCCTAAATCACAACAGTAGTCATCTCAGAGGTCTTAACAAAACCATTGAAATCACCAACAAAGATCAGAGAATCAACAGTTTAGACACAAAAACAATATAGATCACATGTTGATAAATGTCCATAAATGTTGTAGAATGTTAAAGTGTCCTGGATCATCACCACAGTCCTTTTTGTTAGACACTAACTGCCCAACAGACCCTCCTGCATCGGCAAGGAAAAACTCACAAAAACCCAGTGGGGAAAAAAGTGAGAAACCTCGGGGAGACCCACATATTGAGAGAGGGATCCGCTCCACACGGACGGACGGGCTATAGATCCAGGACCTAAGCCACAGAACGTGGACCAGGGCCACGCAGCGGCCGCAGAATGTGGACAGGTCCGGTGCAAGACTGAAGCAGCTCCCAGGCGGGTTGGGCAGGGCAGTCCGCAGGTGTAGATGAAAGTTCTGTTGTAAGTTCCGTATTTGAAGAGAGATTCTACTTTCTCAATTTATTGTACTTTTAATTTGGTGAATTTTTACTTTGGTTCACGTGAATTATTGCTTTATGTAGGATTGTACATCAAAGGTATATAGGAGGATTTTCTACTTCCGGGTGGATCATCAAGACAATTAGTCCTCCTAATTGTCAATCATTCTGGTGATACCTGCTTGTCAAACAAGACAAGCACGACAAGACAAGACAAGAGTTTTTTCAAAAAGTGGAGAGGGCGGTTCTTTCCTAAAATTTTTGTAAAAGTAAATACAGTTAAAGGTAAATAGTTAAGCTTGTTCCACAAGTTGTGTGCACCGTTCATATGTGCGAAGTGTTACCTCCACACTAGCTCTACATTAAGCTTTTTACGCTAATTTTTCATTCTCTATCCTTTGCAAAACAAAAAAATATTATAAATTTCCCCCCATACAAACTTCTCAACTTGTCTTTTTCATTGTGTCCAGGTACTACTCCTCCATCACCCCACCATGCCTGTTTGTGGCAGTCACGGCCCGTTACCCTGCAAGAGCGAGAAGAATGGGTTCCAAAGTATGGATTGGTCGTCCGTCCAGGAACATCCTCCACGGCGACTCTGGGCCCAGCGCTGTTCTCGTACCCTGCTCCATCTCTCTCTGCTGTTGCTGCTGTTGTTGCAGCTCCCCACTGCCTGCTCCTCTCGCAGAGAGAAGGGTGGAGGAGGAGGCGGTGGTGGTGCCCAGTACATCCCTATACCCCAGCCTCCACCACACCACATGGCTCTGCCCAACATCCTAAGTGGCCTCAGCATTGCTGTTGTGCTTGTGGGCAATTCCAGTGAGGTGGCGCTGGCCGGGGCTCGGGAGAAGGAGGATTTCCTCCACCTGGCTCCTAATGTGGAGGTGCTAACCATGAACGAAACAGACCCTAAAAGCATCATTAAAAGCATCTGTGACCTGATGACGGAACACTGGCTGCAGGGTGTGGTATTCGGAGACGACACAGACCAAGAAGCCATCGCACAGATTTTGGACTTTATCTCTGCCCAGACGCATATTCCCATCCTCGGGGTCCGCGGAGGTTCCTCTATGATCATGGCTGCGAAGGTAGGCTCATCATTCTTTCTAAATCTGAGCATCCTTCAAATTTACACCTCACTTCTCACAGTCTTTGTCCCTACAGTGTATAAATTGTGAGTAGTTTCTCCGGCATTAACTGTAAGGCTTCGGTCTGGGTTTTTTTTTCAACTGTTTTATGGCATTTATTTTTTATTAAAATAATTTGCCTTAATGCCTCGATATTGAGAAAGGTAATTCTTCTGATTGATTTACTTCACTTTCTACACAATCAGAAGTTTAAAATTAAATTAAATGATATGTCACACAGTGTATGCAAACTTTACACTGTAGAGATTCAGTTTTGTAGAGAATTTTAGCTTTTAGCGTCATTCATTTTGAGTGCACTGACAGAGAGTGTAAAAGGGTGTTCTGATGCCAAGGGCAGGATCAGCTGGCGATTGTAGAATTCAGAGCTTAGTTGCTGGCTGTTCACAAGGCCTTGTCTAATGGGATAAAACAATCTGCTGTTGCTTTATCAGTGTCGCGCTGTGACGTGAGCCTGGGCTCCTTTCCACAAAAGCATCTTGATGATTGAAAGTTTTCATAGAAAGTGCATGTGATTGCTGCATAAAGTCTGCATGTCAGTGAATAGCAATAATCTGTTAGTTCCCTGAGTGAGTCCTTTGTGAGCAGTTTGTCTGACACGCTGGTGTTAACAGGTTGTGGGCCCTGCGCAGACAGAAGTCGATCTGACAGAGAGGGGCCAGCGGCCATCACTGTTGCTCTTCTCTCTGTTCTGTCTCATCAAAGCACTATAGCAATGGCGGTCAAAAGACCTCCTCCACCTAAGCCAACTATAGACTGTTTTAGTGCACTTCAAATGCTGTAGTCACATGTACCTTTAGTAAAAACGCAAACACTATTGATGATTTTGATGATTTTACTGATCTTTAGCCAAAGTCAATACGAAGTATTAGAGAATGCTATTGTTATTCGTCGGTTTCATATTATTATTATTTTTTTTGCCAAAATGATTAGATATTTTTACTCTGAAGGCATGCATACATTTTGGCACATGGGGGTCTAACATGACCGCTTTGGTGGAAAATTAAATGAGCTTTTCAAGATTATCCAACAAATATCAACTCTATATCGCCCCCTGGAAATTTGAAATTTGCCATATTAGGTTATGGCCTGAACTTGATGACACTAAAATCATATCAATCAATCAATCAATCAAAGTTTATTTATAAAGCGCTTTTTCATACAACAGATGCAACACAAAGTGCTTTACAGTTTGGCTAAAAAACAATCCTGCCCATGCCCTCCCCCCGACCGCCCAACAGACCCTCCCCAGACCACAAGCAAACACCCCCCCCCCCACACACACACGCGCACACACACACGCACCGATAAAACAATAAAACGATGATAAGAGACTTGGCAGGGTTCAGATGCAACCGGCTGAAGAAACGCCATCCAAGGAGCCGTCAGCGCCAGGAGCAGAGAGCCGCCCATAGCCAAAGGGGACGACACAGGACCCAGAGGGGACCCAAAACCGAGGCCCCGGGCCCCCACCAGGTCCAAGAGTCCGACCCCCACAGCCACAGCCAACCACCGCTCCCAGCGCAGAGGGCTCCTCCAGAGGAAACACTGGGGATACTTAAAAACAATACAATAAGTAAAACACTAAAATGTGAGCCTGAAAGGAACTATCACACAAAACATGAATAAAAGCAATAGCAATATAATAAATAATAAAAGGATAAATAGAATATATAAAAATGGACTAATAAATACTAATCAAAAGCTAATCTAAAAAGGTGTGTCTTGAGCCTGGCTTTAAAAATATGAATGTTCTCTGCGACCCTGAGCTCCTCCGGCAGACTGTTCCAGAGACGGGGGCCGTAGTGTTGGAAAGACGCCTCACCGTGAGTGTGTGTCCTGACTTTTGGAATGGTTAGGAGTCTGCTGCCGGAGGAGCGCAGGGGCCGGGAGGGTTCATAGGATAAAAGCAGTTCTGAAAGATAAGAAGGCCCAAGACCATTAAGACATTTGAAAACCATTAGGAGAACCTTAAAATCAATCCTGAAACACACGGGGAGCCAATGCAGCGATTTTAAAACCGGTGTAATGTGGTCCCGCCCCATATATGCCCATTATGAACTCTATAGCGCCACCTGTCGCAAAGTAATAGGGCACTAGTGCTACGATCGACCCAAAAATCCTTGACTGCCCTGACGAAGACTTTTGTCGAAACGCGTCGGTTCATTATTATAAAGAACACAGTTTTCAGAGGGCCTCCTTCTCCATTTTTTTCATAGCAAACATTTTTCTCTAACCCACGAGTTGGATGAGCACCTTTAAAGGACAACTCACCCTCAAATCCACTTTTTTTTGCTGATAAACGATTTAAATGAGTGTCCAATAGTGTTGTCTACATATCCTGGTCATAGTTTTTTCACTTTGGTGCAAATTTGTTGAAAGTTAAACTTTCTGCCTAAAACCGTCTGTGAGGCGCCATCTGCTGGCGACCTGTATTACTACATTTGAATTTTGAATCTGGCGCCAACACTGGCACAGAAGTTGGACCTGACGTCTGCAAGTTGGACCTGACGTCAGCAGCCCCCCGCCCAGAGCAATATAAACGGCCCAGTCTCGTTCACGCCCCCTTCAGTCCTCCAGGCTACGCCCATTTAGAGGAAGATTTGAACAGGAAATGTGAGTGAAGTAAGCTCCGAGGAGCGGGGGTGAGAACCACTTTAAGTGTTTTTACTATCGTTTGATCCAGTGCAGCACTCCTGCAATCCCCTTCACTCAACCAAAAATCCTTGAATTTAATTTCTGAACCGAGACGAGCAAAGTTGTAAGTCCCACACCTGACCACTGGGGGCACCCTGATTTCTTTGAATGAGCTTTTTGAGCACAATGTTTGTCCGATGAAGCGAAATGAATTCACAAATACAGCGTATGACCCTCCTACAGGCAGTTCAAGGTGTTGTGTTTTTGATTTCCATCTAGTCCCAAGTTTTTAATTGCACAGACTTCATTTCTCCCTCTGGACAGATTGAAGTTTTGTCCTTACCTTACCTTTAACCGTATAGCGGTTAAATTCTGCACTGTGACTCACACAGCTGGGGTATGATTCCGGGATAGCCACTTTTGTGTTAGGGTTAGTTAGTAGGAGTTTGTTTTATGCTTTATTTACATTATTACTGTTTTATTACTATGATAAGGATAATAGTGTGAAAATACACACTCAATATGAACTCTAGAGTGCCACATATGGGAGGCCTCGAGCCTAACATGTTTTAATCGGCACGAAAATCGCTGGGTCAAATCTTTACATCTATACGAGCAAAATTTTACACAACGCAGAGGGTGCATGTCCCTCCATTGACCACTAAGGGTGCACTGAATCCTTTAAATTAGCTTTTTTGTGTTTAATCCTGGTTCGATCAGGCTGCGAATTCATCGGGCAAGGCAAGGCAAGTTTATTTATATAGCACTATTCATTCACAAGGCAATTCAAAATGCTGAGCAAAACAAGATAGCATTAAAATCATAAATAATCACAGTACATTAAAAATAAAGATAAAAATATAAAATCTCTCAGTTGTATGCACAGCTAAACAGAACCGTTTTTAACCTGGTTTTAAACATTGTCAGAGAGGAGGCCTGTCTCACACTTTCAGGAAGATTGTTTCAGATTTTAGCGGCACGAATCTGAAATGCAGCCTCCCCATGTCTAGTCCTGACTCTGGGCACTAACAAGAGAGCCCCGTCCCTGTGCTCCTCAGAGTCCGGGCTGGTTCGTATGGGACTAAGATGTCACTAATATATTTTGGTGCGAGGCCATGGAGAGACTTGTACACAAGCAGAGCTGTTTTAAAGTCTATTCTCTGAGCCACAGGAAGCCAGTGCAGAGACCTGAGAACTGGACTACTGTGGTCGTACTTCCTGGTTCTAGTCAGGACTCGAGCTGCTGCATTTTGAATGTACTGCAGCTGTTTTATAGCCTGTTTGGAGAGACCTGTGAGCAGGCCATTGCAGTAGTCTAACCTACTGGAGACAAATGCATGGATAAGGATCTCCAAGTCTGCTTTAGACACTATGTTTTTGATCCTGGCAATCAGTAATTACACCGTATGATGCTTATGGAACTGGTGCTCGAGAGGCGGTCGTGAGAGTGGCGAGGGGTTTCATCATCACTTGCGGCTTTAATTTATGCTTGTGCTCATAGGAAGTATAGTAACTCTTGTTAAATGATGTATATTAGCATCTCTTTGCCTCACAACACCTTTGACTTTCACCTGTAAATGTATACCCTGATGACCTGCAAGCCATGAGTCCATAAAGATCCAGGTATAAATCTTACACGTTTCCCCTTCCTCATGATGGCCTTATGTGTACAATTTATGTTTGTATTTTATTGCTGGGTTAGACGCAATGACGTGGGAGGAGGTGTGAGTGAAGCATGGGGGCGGTTCACTGCAGTGTGTGCATGTGTTCGTGTATGTGTTGGACGACAGTATTGTTCATTAAGTCACATGGTCTGCTCTTGTGGCAGAGGTTTAAATGGATTTCCCCGACCACAGCCCAGAGCCGACCTTTCCTGAGAGACCCCTGCTGCCTGCACCACAACCCACCAGAGCCAGGCTGTGGTCTCAAAACGGATTTGTGTCTGCTTAATGGGCTGGGACAATAGAGTGGCGAGAATACGATAGAGCCGGATAACTAGCAAGACGAAAGGGACAGTGTGAGCTTTCTAAAAATGCTGGAGCTTTCCATTTATTGTACTCAAAAAAGGGGAGGAAATATATCCATGGCCACAGGCGACCACTGCTCTCAGTGCCGAGGCCTGTTCCAGTAAAAGCACTGGAGAGAATAGGAACAGTGAAAAGTAAAATACTAAACTGAGCAACATAAGAATTGTGTATTTTAAATGTATTTGTATGAAAATAAATAAAACAAATGAAACTAATCTATATAAAATATCACATATAGATCCTGAAACTCACACGAAGCCAATGCAGCAATTTTACAAACGTAGTGTGGTCTCACCTTTGCCAGGACATGTGCCCTGAGTTTTGTGATAATTGACTGTCGACAAAGCACCTCCTGTTGGCTCGAGTTGGGCAAACTCTGGCTGTATTCTTTAAATGATTTGAAAGATGATTATGATTACATTATTATCTTATGTTAATCTTAATATGAGAATACAATCAGCTTGGTGTATGTAAAATAATACAACCAGGGTTCTCACTTATGGTGATTGAGTCAAATATTGTATTTGGCGTTTGGGTAAAAGTTTCTCTCTCTGGGCCTCAAGACCAATGTCTGTTTTGCTGGAGAAAGTTTCTGCCACCCGGGTTTTGAGGTCTGTAAGGCAGTTAAAAAGAGCATCCATTATAGAACTGCGTATCCTCAGCATAACAATGTCTGCTCATGACACCGCCAAGGAGAAGCATGCACCAAACCGTACACTGGGACACACCACCAGAGGAACAGGTATCCAGACTTGCCATGAATATCCTGTCTGTTAAATAGGAAGTCACCCATTTGAGGGAAGTGTTTCAAATTTAATCTAAAACACTTTAAGAGAGCAGTCTTTGTGCTGTTGTTCACCTTAAAACCACATGTAGCCCTTGTTTGCTCATTATTTACTTGAGTGGGCTAGGGGTTCCTTAATGTGTGTACTCTCGTACTAAATAGTCTGACTCTAGAGCTATTTATACTATTTTGGGTCGCAGGGCTATACTTTTACTCACACAAAGATATTCCAAACAGATACAAATACCTGAATTAACTTAACACC